TTCCTTTCAGCCTCTTAAGGGGGTCTTTGGCAGAGCAAAAGATTTTAGTTTTCATAAAGTTCAGTTTATTGATATTTTTCTCTTATGAAACATGCCTTTGGAGTCACATCTGAGAACTTTGACCACACCCTACATCCTGAAGATATTCTCCTATGTTATAGTTATACATTTTGATTTGATTTTGTATAAGCTGTGAGGTTTAGGTCAAGGTTCTTTTCTTTTTTTTTTTTTTTTCCCCACTGATTTTCTTTGCCTATGGAAGTTCACTTCCTCCAATAGCATTTGTTGAAGACCAGTTTTCCTCTTTTTAATTGCTTTTCCAGCTTTACAAAAGTCAGCTAACTATATCAGGCGCTATCCCTGGGTTCTCTATTATGTTCCATTGATCTGTGTGTCTGTCACCTCACCAGTACCAGATCTATGTAGAAAATCCCAAAGTAATCTACCAAAAAAACTCCTAGAATAAACAAACGAATCCAGCATGGTTATAGAATATAAAGTTAACACACAAAATTCAGTTGTCTTTCTATACATCAGCAATGAACATGTGGAAAGTTAAATGAAAAATGCAATACCATTAACAATCACTAAAAAAATGAAATAGTTATAAATCTAACAAAAGTACCACCTGGTCTTGATTATCATAGCGATATAGTAAGTCTTAACATTAGATAGACTGATTGTTCCCACTTTTCTTTTTCAGACTGGCTTTGGCTAATTCAGTGCTTTTTCATACAAATTTTGGAATAAACATATCTACAAAAGATCTGGCTGGGATTTTATGGAAATTGTGCTAAACCTGTTTGTCAATGTAAGGATATTGTTACTGTGTTGAACCTTCCAATTCATGACCATGGTATATCTCTCTATTAGATTTTAAAAATTTCTTTCATCAACATTTTGCGGTTTTCAGCACACAGTCCTATATGTATTTTGTTAGATTTATGCCTATTTCATTTTTTTAGTGATTGTTAATGGTATTGCATTTTTCATTTCACTTTCCACATGTTCATTGCTGATGTATGGAAAGACAATTGAATTTTGTGTGTTGACTTTATATTCTATAACCATGCTGGATTCATTTGTTTATTCTAGGAGTTTTTTTGGTAGATTACTTTGGGATTTTCTACATAGATCATCTTTTATCTGCAAATAGGTTTAGTTGTGCGTTTTCCTTTTTTTTTTTTCTGTCTGATCTGTAATTTCTTTTTTTTCCCCCCTATTTTTCCTGAGCTGTATGATCTTTTATTTCATTTTCCTACCTTATCACACTGGCTAGAACTTCGAGTACCATGTTAGATAGCAGTGGCAGAAGTAGGCGTTTTTGTCTTTTCCTGTTGTTGGAGGGAAAACATTCAATCTTTCACCATTAATTATGAGGTTATCTGTATGATTTTTGTCAGTGTTCTTTATCAAGTTGAAGAATTTCTCTATTCCTGGTTTGCTGAGGTTGGTTTTATTTATTTATTTTTTTAATCATGAGTAGGTGGTATTTTTTAATCCCAGACTCTGAGTTTCTGGGTGTCAGATACTGCTTCTTAAAGTTTGTTTCCTCCACAGTGCCTGGTCCAGTGTTTTGCCATAAATAAGCATTGGACAGATATTTGTGAATTGGTAGAACTAGGCACAGTCTCTAATGGCAGACAGACGAGGTCCTGAGGCAGAAATTTTGAGAACAACTCTAACCAGACCGTCCTGGTCAGCTGGGTCTGGAGGGGAGAGATTTAACTACTCTTTGATCATCATTACACCGACTCAGTTATTCAAGGCAGAAGCGGAAGTTACAGGCACCAAATTGATACTGCAGCAGAGACATGACAGAGGCAGAATGGATTCATCTACTCTGCCCTTAGAAATGAAGCTTTTTAGGATGAGTGCCAACTAAAAGAAATGAAGCTTTTTAGGATAAGTGAGTTGTATACTTTAAATCGATGAGTTCTATGATACATGGATTATAGCACAGTAAAACTGTTACTTTAAAAAAAAAAAAAAAAAGGCTGAATGCAGTGTCTTATACTTGTAATTCCTAGTGCTTTGGAAGGCTAAGGCCAGAGGATCACTTGAGTCCAGGAGTTTGAGACCAGCCTGGGCAACATAGTGACACCCTGACTCTACAAAAATTTAAAAACTAGCCAGGCATAGTGAGCATGCCGGTGGTCCCAGCTCCTTGAGAGGCTGAGACGCGAGGATCACTTGAGCCCAGGAGGTCCAGATTACAGTGAGCCATGTTCATGCCACTGTACTCCAGCCTGGGTGACAGAGCAAGACCCTGTCTCCAAAAAATAGAAAAACGTAGATAAGTGCCTAGTGGGCAGTTGACCCTGGTGCTCTCTGTACTGGAGGACAGGGTGCTGCTCTCAGCTGGCCTGAGTTCCCCAGATTGCTGTGAGACGAGAAGCCTTTTCCAGATGGACAGACATGCCTTTGGTTGCCTTATCAGGGCCCTTGACCACTCTGCACACACCCCAGTGTGGACCATGCAAGGAAGTATGCAGTGTGCCCCTCAGAAGAACGCAGAAGTTCTCATAGACACTGCCTTGCTGATTTCGAAGCTTTAGTCTAAGAATGGTAAAATAGACTTCCTGACTGCTCGTGGGGGCTGTTTTAGCTGAGACAATATTTTCCAAAGGCTGGCTGCATTCCTAATACTATTTTAGTTTAGGTTATTTCTTCATCCCCTTGACCCTGTCGGTGAGGTAAGAAAGGGAAGAAAAATATTAACTTTATTTTCAACAATGAGGAAATGAGCAAAGGAATGAAAAGTAGTTTCTCATCATCACAAACAATGGTGGCGTTAAAACTAGAACATGATCCCCTGGCTCCCGTTTCGGTGGGCGGGCTACTTGGCTTGTCGTATTTTAGTCTTTTCCTGTCTCATGACTGCTGACTGCCTGGATTTGTATGTTTTCCCATCCGTTTGAAGCTGGAAGAAGCAGTTGTATCTTCTGGAATAGAGGAGCTGCCAGATTTTGGTGATGATGACAGTATAGCACGGGTAGGACTCAAAGCAGTACAGTAATCCCCCTCATCCACAGCAGCCACCAACTGAAAATAGGTGAGGACAGTAGTACCACATTTGAGAGAGAAGGAGAGGCCACATTTACATAATTTTCATGACAGTATATTCTTATAATTGTTGTATTTTATTTTTAGCTATTGTTAATCTCTTACTGTGTCTAATTTATAAATTAAACTTTAAAAACAATGCATGTAGGGCTTGGTACCATTCAAGGTTTCGATATCCAGTGAGGGTCTTGGAACCTATGCCCCAGTTAAAGGGTGGGGTTTACTATAGTTGTTGTTAAAGTGTTGGTTTTTTTCAGGGGAGGCTGAGGCAAGGTGGATCAGCCGAGGTCAGGAGTTCGAGACCAGCCTGAACCACATGGTGAAACCCCAGCTCTACTAAAAATACAAAAATTAGCTGTGCATGTTGGTAGGTGCTCGTAATCTCAGCTAAAAAGACAAAAATTAGCCAGGCATGGTGGCAGGTGCCTATAATCCCCACTACTTGGGAGGTTGAGGCAGGAGAATCACTTAAACCCAGGAGGCGGAGGTTGTGGTGAGTCAAGATAATGCCATTGCACTCCAGCCTGGGTGACAAGAATGAAACTCCATCTAAAAAAAAAAGAGTTGGTTTTTTACTGATACACTTCATTGTCCAGTGAAATTTTCTGAATTTGTTGCCACCCCCTCCTCCCTCAGTTGTCTCTTTTCCAGTAACTGCAAAGGAGTGATAGTAAAAGGCAGACTTCTTTCTATGGTGCCTATGTACATCTGTTTTCTTTTCTTTTCTTTTCTTTTCTTTTCTTTTCTTTTCTTTTCTTTTCTTTTCTTTTCTTTTCTTTCTTTTCTTTTCTTTTCTTTTCTTCTTTCTTTCTTTCTTTCTTTCTTTCTTTCTTTCTTTCTTTCTTTCTTTCTTTCTTTCTTTCTTTCTTCCTCTCTTCCTCTCCTTTCTTTCCTTCCTTCCTT